GATAAGACTCCATTTTCTGGCTGCTCGTTTGAAGCACCCCATTATTCCTCAAAAAGCGAAATCTGAGTCAGAAAAATAAAAATCCATATCTGGCTACCATCTCTCAACTTTTGGGTCTAAATGTACAAGTCTATATTCCATGAAGGAAATTAAGAAAAAAAAATTCAATATTTTCTTGCTCCAATTTTTTTGAAATCGGGTTTACAAGGAGGCCCAATGTAAACTTAAAGTTGACTTTAAATATCCGTTAGTAGTCATAGCTGAAGCCAAGGGGTGACTGTGGAGTTTAGGGTCCGAGTTCCTTTAACAGATGCAACATCCACCTTTAACTTTTTACTTTTGTCAAATTTCAACATTGCACAACATTAGTAAAAATTGTCATACTCCTAAGTTAGAGTTTCTTCATCAGATTTAAACTTTATAGTAGTTAAAAAATAATTTTAAAAAAATATTTAAAAAAAAGTGGCAAAGATATATGGAGTTCATCAAATTAGGTTTTGCCCTCCTTTAAATTGATTGTTTTCATTCTTTTTGATTGATTGTGACAATAACAAATTCTGTTGTCATGTTGTAATTTAAGGTATGAAGCAAACATGAAAAGCACTCGCATGGCACAAGCAGGTACAAGTTATTCCTAGCTTTCAATCACTTCCTTCACATTCCCATCAACATCATCATCTCGAGAACAGACTGTTTAGCTGTAATTAGTGTCTTGTTTTTATTTAGATTATTGTTATTTATTATACGCGGTCTCTGTCTCGGTCTCGGACCATTTCAGTCTCGGTCTCGGTCCGCCTTGAAGGGGCTGGTCTCGGTCTCAGTCTCGAAACTTCAGTCTCGATGTTTGCGGTCAGGCCACGAGACATGCATGCATGCATGCATTGCATTGCATTGAACCCAATACTAGTCTGTTTGGACAATCGGCGTAGCATGAATTTAGGTTTATAAAATACGGACCCCATGGTGGTATTGCGCATGCTCCTGCATATATAATTAGAAAAATGAACGATCACGAAAAAGGAGTCCGTTGTTCACATGAGTCAATTTTTTTGTCACACCGGCTCTGAGTGCTGGAATCAGCTCTGATGGCCCTGGCTCTGATGAGTGCATGCCGCAAGAATTGGCTCTACAGACCATGAACTGGGTACAGCGCTGTTTTGAGATTTGGATTTCGCGAGCCGTGGGCCGAGGTACATGTAAAAAAATCCCCATCTCAATACGAGTCTCCAATCTACCGTTGCATGAAAATGAATTATTCCTTTGCTTCATTTGTAAAACTTCTTTCTGATCGGCACACATGGTGAAAAATAGGCTGCCATGCCTGCTAGATAATAAAGCAGTCAATCCAGCCTCCCCCCCCCCCATGACTCGTTCGAATCAAAGCCGGGTAAATTTGTACACAGGTCCATCAGAGCCGGTTCAAGCGCTCGACCGGTTCCACGTGTTTATTGCAAGCAAGATACCAGTGTGTACGTGCAAAGCATGTGTGTGTACTAGTGCTGTGCAGTGAATCGTTTGTTCTCGGCGGCATGGTGGTGTCGCCGCGGTAAATAAAATAATGGAAAAGGAACAGAGAATAAAGTAATAAAGCTCGCAGTTTCACAGGAAAAAGACACTTTGAAAACATGCGTAGTGGAATAACATGCATTGCATGTCGAAATCCACAGGGCACAGCTTCACAAGGTGACACAGTTATTCTTTACATTTCGACTCAGAACTGGCTCTTTTTGGGGAACCAGAACCGGCTCTAGAAAGATTGGAACCGCTCAAGCATATACTGCATTATAAACTTTCAAAAATAATTGCATTGTTGTATGCTGCCAAGTGAGTTATTAAGGGAATAACAGTATAAGGAGCCGGTCTTCACTGCGTGATAATGACCGGGTTTGGGGGTGACCGCTGTTTCGTCTCGGTCCATTAACAGCGGTCACCCCCAAACCCGGTCATTATCACGCAGTGAAGACCGGATCCTCACACTGTTATTCCCATTAATAAATACCTTTTTAACAAAATAAACAGTTAAAATGCTCCAATTTTGTGACTTTCTTTCGGCGATATTTCCAGACTTTTTGTGTTCATGTTCATGGGCCATATTTTAACTTATGCGTGGTACCCTGTTTCTTCAATAAGCGTTGTTATATACACCACAGCCGGGCCCAGGCTGCGCTGGACAACGTCTTCATTGCTTCGTCCAGGGTTTGGATTTCTGCTGCCGTAGCGAAACAAAGTCTGTGGGTATGGGCATCGCAAGGGGGAGGGGCCAGGGGGGGCACTTGCCCCCCCTGGAAAAGCAAACAAAAACAAAAACAAAAAAACAAAAAAGGAAGAAAAAAAATTAAAAAAATAAAAGAAAAAGAGGCGCGAAGACAAAAGTGGTGTAAATTTAATGAGTTGGGGGGGGGCAAAATGTCCCTGCCCCCCCTCTAAAACTGATAAATCGAGAATGTGTTGAGAAATACAAGCATTTTTTGGCAAAAATATTGTTTTGCCACCCTCTAGAAAAAATCCTGGCGTCGCCCATGTCTGTGGGCCTGGTGCCGGAAGCAGACAAGGTGCAGTTTTCCAAACCCCGGCTTCTTCGCCGTCTCTTTCTCCTTTCATTCATGTAGGCAATGGGGCTGGACCCGGAAAAGGAGCCAAATCTGTTGAACCACCTTTCCCCACAGTGGGCTCCTCGTTTGGTGTTTGACTCACTCTAAGAACAAAGATGACAGCCACTTAAGGGTGCACACCGGTAAATAGGCCTAAATCTATCCACCAAGGTCATGAATAAAAGTTTTACCCTCAAAATATTCTATAGTAGAGAGTTCTGAGAGCCATAAAATTGGGGAATTGAAGAGATATGGCAATGAAAGTCTGGCCTTGACTTCAGGCTTTCAATTCTGAGAATTTTGGATGCAATTAGGCTCGAAAGCAGTGTTATTTTGCCATGTGCCATCATCGTTTTTCAAGATGGCTACTTTTCCACTTTGGGAAAAAAAGGGGTCGTCTTCTTTGGGTGAGAATATCTCAAATAAGTCAATGGTCAACCCACCAAAAAATGAAAAGAAAATGAAAGATACTATGTTGATCATCATCCTTCTGTACAGCTTAAATACCTGTGAGAGTTCTGAGTATTTTTAAAAGAATTTGGAAGTATGGGCATTTAGCACTAGTGTCTATGGGAATTTTAATACAGGGTTGCACCCTTCGGCTCTGACTATTTTAGGTGCTGACTCTGGAGGGTGCTGTGGCATGCTATAGCAAATCTTCAGCTAAGCAACATGTCAGTGGAATGACTAACAAAAAAGGGAGATCAAAAATGTAGTTTTTTGCACAGAATCTCTTTTTTTCATTGGTTGCTTATAACTGGTGTCCTTGTGCACCAAAGAGATTTCACATTGGCCATTAGCCTAATTAATAAACTTTCCAGAAGTACCTGCACCTGTGGCTTCTCATTAAACATGGATATATATATATAATGTATAGATGTTTTCAATCGGTTGTCAAACTTTTGCTAGAAATGAATTTTAAATATGATATCGGCAATTCCATGTTTTTTTCATTCTGTCTGAGTACAGAAATAAATAACCCACTGCCAATAAACTTAAGGAGCCCTCCAATAATTCATAATAAATGATATAGGTAAAATTAACATCAATGTAATGATCAACCCATTTATTTTATAATAATCTGAGTAATTTCCAAAGTTTAATTATATATGAACCGTGTCTGGTCGATTTTAAAATCATCTTATTAAGTTTACATGACTCCCAACAAATTTTAAAATAGATTCCAGGGAGAAATTTTATAACATTGGCTGTGTCAGCACATATGCCGAAACAGCCTTTGTTTTTGTTAAGATTTTTTGTTTTGTTTTTCTGCTTAAAAATGGAAAAGCATTGATTTTGTTCTGATTTGGTTTTTCTTTTCATTTTTTAGTACAACCGCAAATCCCATAGACTTTGTACATGTTTTTTTAACAGGGCCATTTTGGACCTTAAACAGACTTGTATTCTAATGAAACCTAACCTATGTAAAGACCCCATAGTGAGTTTGTGTCCCGAAGAGACATCATGATTACATCATCATGGGTCATGTGACGTCAAGGGAGGGGGCAGGGCATGGTTTTAGTCTCATCCCATTTTGGGAGATGTCGTTAGTGGCAAGTTCCAAGAGGCCAAACAAGTGAAATTAATTTAAACAAAAACTTGCTTAATGACAATGTTAAAATCTGACATGTTTTAACATGTTGTCATTTTTTTCAACAGGCAATTTACATAAGACTGTAGAATTGAATGGAGTAATGTTTTTCTGTCCATTTGGGAATAAAATATTTGACGTTCTCACACACTGTTTTCATGCAGATAAAACAAAGTTGCCAAACTGTATTGTGTCACAAATTATCAGAAACAAATTTAAGGCATGTTGTATCAAGTTGTATCAGGAGACCGGTTTCTTGTCAACATTTTTCCTGACTCCAAAGAAAGGGACTGGCAAGTGGCACCCCATCATAAATATCACACTAACATTCAGTCTATCCAAAGCCCCTCGAGTATTTACAAGGATATCACTAGTAGTAGCAGCAAGCTTACGAAAACGAAACATCCTAATCCTAATGTATCTGGACGACTGGATAGTCATAGGGCGTACATGTGATCCAGTCAACATGGGCTCTGACATCATAACTCGGCTTTATTATCAATGAAACAAATTCACACCCAACCCCAACACAGTATCCAGTCTTTTTGGGTGCAGACATAGACTCCAACCAAAGATTGTATCATAAATCTTCGATGTTGTGTTCTCATGTTTCTCTCAAAGAATGTGGCCCCAGCAAGAGCATGGCTCGTGCTGTTTGGACTGATGGCAAGCATGGTCCAAAATTTTTCACAGAGGTTAAATAGCAAGCATTAATAAGGTAAAAGAACTATTATTTTAGTACATGAATTTGAGGTTTGTCAACAAAGAGGTTTGGCAACACTAAACGAGGAAAGTTGGGTAAGCTTCGAAGTGCGCCACGTTAGGGAACACGACTATACTATCCACACAGACAACACAACCGTATATCAATCGTCATGGTGGCATCCGATCGCCCCAACTGTGTTAACTGACTTGGGACATCTTCCATTGGTGCATCCAGGAAGAAATACAACTATATGCTTCCACATTCCAGGAGATCAGAACAAGATCCCGGATACCCTGTCTAGGGGTTTGATAATTCTAACAGAATGGACACTCAACAGAGAGATTGTCCGTCTGCTCTTCACCAATATCGACAGACCCCACACCAACCTCGCAACAGCCATCAGTGCTCAGCTCCCAGTATTTTGCTCACGGCGCCCAGACCCCAAAGCATGGGCAGTGGACGCACTAGCAATAAAATGGATCGGGATGTTCGCATATGCTTTCCCACCAATATCCTTGCTTCCAAAGGTCCTAAACAATTTAGAACAGGAGACATGCTGAATGTTGTTAGTAGCCCCATTCTGGCCACACCAACCCTGGTTTCCGAGGCTGATCAGGCTGGCAGTTTGCACTCCGTGGATACTACCTCAGAGAGTGGACTTCATATTCAAACTGCAGTCCCTTAATCTTCATCCAGCCCCATGGGACCTTCATTTAACTTGCTGGCCTCTGCGCAAGAATTGTTCAGAGCAGCAGGCCTTTCTCAAGACGCTGCAGCTCTCGTAGCACACTGCCGCCAAGCCTCTACTTTACGACTCAAGACTTCGGCATTATTACAATGCAACAGCCATCAATGCCCTACTATTACAATGCAACAGCCATCAATATCCCTACTAACAAAGTCTAGTGATCAAACCTCAGCTTCTCTGACATTGGTCGGTGATTTTTTGCTGTACCTTTACAATCACAGTCTGACCGTAGCAACAGTCAAGAACTACTGGTCGGCCCTTTCCGCTCTCCACAACGGATTTGAAGATGGTTCAGTGATCTCAAACAACAAAAAGGAATGTTTTTTGAGCATCCCCCAATAAGAAATCTTATACCTTCTTGGGACTTCAACCAAGTCCTACAGTCATTAATGAAGCCCCCTTTGGAGCCCCTGGGCCAGGCTTCATTGTACCACATGACTCTTAAACTAGTGTTTCTCCTGGCTGTAGCCACCTCTCGCAAAAGGAGTGAACTCCACTCCCTTTCGGTTGAACCAGGACACATTCCTTGGGAACCAGGAGGCATCCGACTCATTCCCTCAACAGCCTTCCTGACTAAAAACCAATCCATCCGTTTTACACCTCTGGATATTTTCGTACCAGAAATATGTACAATATCGGCTATCCCTACCGACAAAGTCTGGTGCCCGGTGCAGGCTCTTAAATGGTACATCAGCCAGACCAAGGCACTACGTGAGAGGACCTCACAACTGTTCATAACAACAAGACATTCACACTGTGCTGCTTCACGTGACACCGTTGCTCGATGGATAGTGTCGGTGATTAAATCAGCAAACCCGCATTGGCCTTCAACGGACAAGGGTTCATCTAAACAGAAGCCTCATACTCATACAGTGCGAGCACTGTCAACATCATGGGCTTTCTTCAGGGGAGTTCCCCTCGAAGACATTACGAAGGCAGCATGTTGGAAATCCTCCACGTTCACATCTTGGTACCTCAAAGATGTGCTCCAAACCGAGGGCGCACCAGGACAGACAGTCCTGTCAGCGGGTATGTCCTCATCAAAAAGGAGCACGACAAGAGAGGAAACCTCCTAAGACATAACAGGAGCACCTCCCTTGTGGTGAGTTTGTATTCTCTTAGAAAGAAAGTTCACGAGTCTACAAGAGAACACAATTCACCCATTTGCGCCTGTCACCCTGCAATTCTATGCAAATGTAGTTGCTATTTGGGTAAGATGAACGAAGTAGACACCCCCCCCCCCCCAAGTCATGTGGGATGAGTCTACTAGAGAATACTTACCCAAATAGCATCCCGCCCACTTCCCACACTCTAAGCTCGGCTAGTTACCTTCTTGACTGGCACGAGAAAAGAGACAGATTCAATATGGCGGCGACGCCGCATGGCATCATGGGTGGGTGCCAAGAGGCGCATTATTGTGCAATTAAATGCTTAGCGAATTGGCTTGCCAGCAAAGGGAAATATGCAAATGTAGTTGCTATTTGGGTAAGTATTCTCTCACAGACTTGTCCCACATAGGAGGGGGGATTCCAGTTTTAGTATTTTAGGGAACCCTCATCTCAATGCATGGTTTTTGGATTTGTTTCATTGGTATTTTTTCCAAAGCCATCCCAATTTGTTGAATGAAAATTGTAGATATGCCTTTTGGAAAGATTATGATGCATGGTTTTCCATTTCTGTCTTTCATTAGATTGAAAAGTACATAGGAGAGCTTGAAAGTTCCAAACTGAATACGAGAGAATTTGAAGAGGAGGAACAACTTGGAAGTGGTACAGAAAGTGACGCACAAGATATGATGCAAACCACAGGATCTACTTTCAGCAAGATGCAGAGCAAGTTACAAGCTTTGGAGGATCGCAAAATAACTTGCATAAAAATACTGCAAGAGTGAGTACATTTTTTTAAACCCCCAAATCGTTTAGTTTAGATGCCATTTAATTTATTAAAAATGCTTTTGTTAAATAGGAGAATAATAATGAATAAACGTTCCTCTCTGTGCTTTGCCAAACATGCAGGATGGATACATATTATGATGAAGCATTTTCACGTGTGAAGCAGTCCACAAGGATCTCTATTAAAAGGTCGCTTGCTGAGCTTGAGAGTGGAGGGAATGTCAGATTTGAAGAAGGCCATTCTTCGAGTGCATGGTACAGTTCTTGCATTCAGTCTTTTAGCCATAACATTTTTTTATTTGTCCCTCAGATTTGTTATTTCAATTTCTGTATAAAATCAAAGTTATTGCTTTCAAAAATTCAAAAGCATTGGTGACTGGTTGTATCCTGATGAGTACCAGTTGCTCAAAAAATAGAAAAAACACAATTATTGTTTAATCAAACAGGTGTTGCATTTTTCCTTCGCCACCACATCATAACTGGCTGATTGCCAGTATCGAGTCCTGCATTTGGTATCTTTCTGGCATCATTAATTGTGTTTCTCTTAGATATTCTGGTCGGGACGAAGTCTGCCTGAGATGATGTGCTATGTTCATATGTTTTGTACCAGTTGTAGATTTTTCTAGGTCGCTGTTGAAAAAAGGTGTTCATGATGAACAGGTCGAGCTCTGCACAGAGACTCAGTATGTGTTGTCTGTTATAGTAACACAGAGGGTGTCGCTGTATAGAGGCCTAAGGGTGGATTCCATGGCACTTTCCCCTTGCCCCTTTTGCCATTGAAGATTTGTGATGTTTTCTCCTTCTGTCACATCATAACTGGCCGATTGCCAGTGTCGAGTCCTGCATTTGGTATCTTTCTGGCATCGTTAATTGTGTTTCTCTTAGATATTCTGGTCAGGACGAAGTCTGCCTGAGATGATGTGCTATGTTCATATGATTTGTACCAGTTGTAGATTTTTTTAGGTCGCTGTTGAAAAAAGGTGTTCATGATGAACAGGTCGAGCTCTGCACAGAGACTCAGTACGTCATACATCTTTCATACCCAGCAATCCCCTACTATGGTGGTACTGGAAGTTAAATTATGAGTGATTATAATTTTCATTTAAGAATGCATAAAGCATCAGTTTTTGGATAATTCATCAAACCATTTTGTACTGTCAATTATAGATAATCAAATACATGATGAGAACAGCTCTGTGGTAGTTAAGTTACAATCCCTACCTCTAGTTGAAAATCCATTTTGTTCACATTTATGTCTTATACATGTTATGTTTATTTGAAAATTCTGCAGGTTTGCATCTTGCCATGATCTCATTCTGTCACGATTCTGTGCTGCTGATTACAAAGCTTACAACATACTTGGCATCCAGATTCATGGCATCACAAGAGTTCATAACAGAATGCTACGATACCGCTTTGACAACAAGCTATGTGCTATTATTGAGGAAGATGAACCACTTGCTGTCACCAGGTAAGACAATTGGGAAGAAATTGATCATACCAAATCAGATTTATATGAGGCCGGCAAATCCATTCATCCTCTTTTTTTTTATAGGACGTGTACTTCCTAGACTGACCTTCAAGATATACGGGCAGCCAACTGTCCCCGAAACAAGCATTCCATTATTACATAATTTGCACGAGTATGCCACTTAAAACCATTAAAATTGCCAACATATTTTTATTCAACATTTCTGAAAAAAATACGTATATATTTATAGAAACAAATTTATAGTTCCAAACAGTAGTGGATATGTTTCCCAATACGGCCTACCTAAATGTGTCCGAATTTCTCATCGTCCACTCTACGCAAAATTATTTCTCATCGAGGGAAAGTTCCTCCACATGCAATAGCGGTGTCATAGAGAAAAAGTTCTCACGACAAACACACCATACACAACGGCGGTGTCCTATCATATCGGGACTCCCACATTAGTAATGACCAGGTCCGGTTTTAGGGTTGTTGGAAGGATCGATGGAGGGATTGTGTTGCCATCAATTGCGTGTCTGCTTTCTAAATCATCACAGTATAATGAGTTGTCGGGTTTACTAGCTGTATCATCAAACAATGTGCAGATCTCTCTAAGGACATTATTGTTGCGGTAAGTATAGCGACCATGTTGTAACATTACTGGACAGAAGTTAAGTACGTGAAGGAGGGTTTCTTTTGATGAGCAGAGAGAACATTTATCGTTGATTGCCTTTCCTCACAGACAGAGATTAGAGTTAACTGGTATGGTGTCAATGATAGAATTCAAGCCAAAGTGGAGTACTTTCCTGGGGAGATTGTACATTATGGATTTCCAGGTGATGTTAGTACATTCAAGATTCATAAGTCCCAAATGGCTTCCTTGCTTTGCTAGGGATTGGATTTTGGTTACCCATTCTTGCTTTATTTCGTCGGTTATGGAAGTTTTGATGGCTTTTTTTCAGATTATCTAAGTGTTTGGGGTGGGTTCATCTCCAGGTTCTGGCACTTTGCTCAGTGCACTTTGCAGCTTGTTTTCGGTAAGGCTGAAACGATACGCCTGTGTCACAATACGATACGTATCACGATACATATCAAACGATACGATATATATCGCGATATATCTTGGTATAAACAAATTAATAAAATCATAACAGATGAACTTAATCAGGGTCTAAGTCCTCTTTAATCTGTCTTTACTCGTTTCTGATAATACACAAATACAGTAATAAGGTACTACCGTAATTTTCGGAATATAAGCCGCGCGGCGTATAAGCCGCACGAACGCAGCGGTTTCAATTTTGTAAGGCCTCCAAATTCTTGTCAAAATGCTCTGACCCAGTTCCATTTACACTACAGAGCTATAAAAAGGGCCACAAAAGTTATATCAAATCATTTACAATCGATACTCTTACAAACAAATATGGAAATTGATGATGAGAAATAAACTACGGGAATTACTGCTGGCTGCCCCGTCCGGACCCCGGCCTTAAAAGTTAATGCATGGCCCGGCAGCCTGTGCCGGTGAATGACAACATTTTCCTGCAGCACGTGAGAGAGTATGCAACCCACCGTGTGTTGTCTGTGTTCCTTCCTCCATGTCTGACTGGAGCGTTACAAATCTTGCTTTGGTGGAAACAGTTGCTGATTTGTTTTGCCCTAAGACTAAACTGGTCCCGTTTTACCTCAAAACTTATCAAATGTGTGTGATTACTAGCGAGTAGTTACGTTGAAAGTCCAAGTTTCGATCGTAACTTTCTTCAAAAAATTCAAAACCAAAGATCTTGTCCAATCATGGGATTTTATAGTAGTCGGCCTCGTCTTCCTCTTATATATTTAACACAAAAGTGGAAATGCTGCGTAGCACTGTGGAGCATATGTGACAAGAAATACAAATTATAACAGTGCTCACCGGAAAATGACTCCTGAACTTTCATTCGGTGCACCTTCTATGGCATCTGTTCGTCCGCTCGTCGTTCCGGCCGTCTAGTCAGGCGTCCGTCCATCCGGGCAGCTTAGTTTCGGGATGGTAACTTGAGTGAGAAAGGTTGTGCGTAAATACTGGCAATCCTGGACAAGAGACAAAAGGGTCAGGTCATTAATAAAGGGTCCACGATTGACCACATGTCCACGATTGAAATTCGAGGGCAAAACCAATGAGAGCTGTTGCAAAAAAAAAGAGAGTTGTTGTAAAAAGAGTACCAACAAAGGAATGCGGATTAGGGACAATATCGGGTCTGCGATTGCTGGTGTTTACAAGCTAGGCATGTGAAGGGGTGAGCTTAGCGGAAAGAAGTGGGGTACCCAGGTTCACACAACTTACTCGTTGTGCTTGCCGATTACCAGTAAAGTGGGAGTGTGCCGACTTAAACTCTGGGTGACCTGATTCCATAAAATAACAACACTAACTTTGAAACCTCAACACCGATCTACCAGTTCCACTGATAGTATACCAATATTGAGTGGCTCAGAGTGAAATGGGAGGAATATTATCGCAAGGTAAAATCTGGACCTCATATAACTGACATATAGATCCTTGTCATTTGACATATTTGAACTTTTATTTCAATACAAACTTGGTGGAAAATGTACTTCTCTCTTCCAAACCATCCCTTCGCAAAAGTTTGAACCCAACTCTGTAGCACTGGCTCTTTGGAACAATACGTGCAACGTGGACACCAGCATGCATTTGCACATAAATACCGCATCATGGAACAAGAATGATCCTAACTGTTGAATGGTATTTTCCATTCCCCATTGGGGAAATGGGACTTTTTGAGCCCCAGTGTGCATGGGAGCAATAATGAATGCCACATGATGTGAGTTCCACCCATCAAATGACAAGGATCTGTATGTGAGTTATATAATGCCAAACATTTCCCATCTCTTTCTTTCACTGAATATCTCCATTGTGATTTGTGCGGAAACCTGACCTTTTTTCCCCATGAGGATGATAGGCACTGCCTAATCTGCCTAAGACCACCTCATCACAAAATCAACAGAATCATGGTTATTTCTGTCTTTGAAGACTGCAACCAGTCATTTCCAACATCAACTGATGAAATATGCAAATGCAAGAGGGCAGCAGCTTCAGCCCACTGTCACTGAACTTAAGCGCACACAATGTACATGCAAGTTCAAGGTGCTGTGATTTATTTATTTATTCCATTTTTTTTTACCCAGGGTATGCCCAAACAGTTTAAAACTGGTTTCCATTGGGGCCCTGCATACAATAAATAATGACTACAAACATGTATAAATATACAATACATTACAAATACAATAAAATGCATTACAGTGAGATAAAACATTATTTGAATAATGCATAGGTGTTAAGCAAATGTTATAAATACAATATATTTTAAAACTATTATAACTACATGTACAGTATGAATGCTTTACTATAAAGTTGATTCAGTGAACATGAAAAATTTGGATCTATCTTGTAACATCAAGAAAAGAAAGAAAAAAACATATTGCTGTAACTATATTCGCTGATTACGGGAGGGGCGAACCCCGCGAAAACCCTTTTGGGAGAAAACACGGGGAAATTCCCATCCGGCTCCTTATTATCTTCTTATTATTATAAGAATGATGGCTTTTAGGTTAAAAAATAATGATTTAAAATTAAATCAATCAATATTTTGACACAGTTACCCAAGTTTCTTTTGAAACGCACATCCTTTCCTTTTAAATGATTTGTGATCTTCCCCCAAAAAACATTGTAGCAAATTTCTACCAAAGCTGTTCTGGTGTGTAAAAAACAGGTAAGGTTATCGCAACTGTCTTGTTAGTGCAAACTAGAAATGTAATGCTATGTGCAGTCCTTTACGGCCATTTGTCCAGGTCCCTTTGTGTTACTGTTCTAATGTGTTATTAATATTTTGTCTCTCTTTTTTCTTGTACATAGAACACCTACTCTCAAGAGGCTCCAGGAGTACTTGTTCTTCGTTTGGGATCCTGATTTACCAGGTGGTGAAAATGAACCAGTTAAGATTCTTGAAGAAGGGCCTATGGATTGTGATACATACAGTGTAAGTCTTTAAGTGTTATTAATCAATTTTATTGCAGCTCAATAGACACAGGGAGAGTGTAATGACAACCACATTTTGTATTAGGACAAAATTGGAAACAAAAGTTTTTAAATGATCAGTATTTCACTGGAAAGTTCTCATTTTATGCTAACTATAAATAAAATGTATGAACCTTAGCTTTCTTTTTACTATAGTGGCCCCATTGTAAGTAATATTGCAGAGTCAGCTGCTGAAATTCTAGTACCCCCTTCTGTCCTGAAAGTAAAAGTGTTTCGGCACTTTTGCCGAAACAGCCTTTGTTTTTGTTAAGATTTTTTTATTTTTTTTTTTTGGCTGTTTCTGCAACCAGCCGAAACAGCCTTTGTTTTCGTTAAGATTTTTATTTTTGGCTGTTTCTGCAACCAGCCGAAACAGCCTTTGTTTTCGTTAAGAATTTAATTTTTTGGCTTTTTCGCAATTTTGCGAAAAAGCCTTTCTTTCTGTTCTCATTTTTTTTTTTTTTCATCTTCTTTCTTCTTTTTGTCGCCTAAACCCCATAGACTTTGTGCACGTTTTTTCTGGCCTCCACTTTTGGCATTAATCTTTGTCATACATCATTCTAAGTTTGCATAAGCATAGTCCCTGTAGCAAAGATGTGTCCCGAAGATTGACGTCATGGTGACGTCATCGACTAATTTATTATAGATTTTTTAATATTTAATTTTTCCCGTAGACTTTGTACACAGATATTAAAAAAAAATTGTCGATTTTCAAAGGGCATTTTTGACTCTTTGCCAGTAATTCATTTGCACCAATATTTGTCCGAGCAAAGACCCTAATTCAAACAACATTGTGTAATGATGACGTCATGATGACGTCATCCGGTGTGTATTGATAGGCAATTAAATTGTGACACTTTTAATATTTAAAAATGCATAAGAAATGAACCGTACGCGTCCGCAGCATTCTGTTACCGGCAAGTGGTAGAGTAGGTTGAGGTCTTTATTTCTTTCAGTGTGCGTGAAATCACGTGACCCTTGCTTCCGGTCGAAAAAGGCTAAAACCGGAAGTGGCTTATTATTTGAAAGTGATAATAGATATGAACTTGCTTTTAACGGTGTTAGTCTGTTGGCTAAAAGTATTCTTCAAATCATCTACCAATGACGTCATGCAATCTTCGAGCGCCCTCTAGCGACAGGTTGAAAATTAGCAAAAATGTATTTTGAATAGATGTCTGTGGCGAAGTTTGTCGGAAACGCCTAAATATTGGTGTATATGATGACCTTGACCCACTTAAGACGTGTGCGAAGTTTTAGGCAAATGACGTCATCAGACCGGAAGTTATAATGAAAAGACCGTTTTTCTTTTGAAAATTCCTGAAAAATCAACCATGGCAGTTTTTATGTTAGTTTTTACTTTAATTGTCGATTTAAGGGTAGGTCTAAAACATATCAAAGCTTCGAGGCAATAAGCGAACTCGGACATGCCCTACGCACGCTTAAAACTTCAGGTTGACAATACCTCTGCTCTAAAACATGCACAGAACGTCTATATGTACATGTACATACACGTACGTTACGCACATACATCGTATGTCAGTCAGCCTGCAGAGCACGTGTTGCCGAGGTCAAATCCTGTCCACATCACAGTGACCGTTTTAGCCGATTTTCGGCTAACCTTGACAGATTTTATGTTCATGCATGCGTGTAGTCAGGGGCGTATAATAAAAAATCATTATGCCGAAAAGCCCTATGTTACGTATTTAAAGGTGCAGTTTTTCTGCAGTGGGATTTTCCACACATCTTTTTCTATACAACACTGATATCTTACTGAGTAGTTCTGAACTTCAGCCGAGAATTACTATGAGAAAGAAAGAGAAATCGTATTTTTTCGCGCTGTCTGTTAGAAGGAAAGATAAATCGTATTTTTTTTCGCGCTGTCATTCGATTGAACATATTTCTAAGGGTCAGAATATCAAGTAATATTTCATAAAAATGTTTCAGTTCAAAGGCAAATTACAAATTTAAAGGTCCAATTGTTCTGCAGTGGGATTTTGTTTAGCCCGTTAACTTTGTACACGTGTTAGCCCCTTGACTTTGTACACGTTTTCAAGCCACCATTTCTATAACTTGGCGATCTGGAATCGTCATCAATGTTACAGCCAAGGAAGACCCTCATACAAAAATTATGCCAAGACTATGACGTCATGATGACGTCATCACCCAATTTTTTTTTCATTGATTTTTGAAAATGTACGTGCATGTTATGTTGTCCTATATCTACAGAACTGTAAGTCTGATTGGGTTGAAACTTGGTATGTGGTTAGACCGGGATGTGTTATAGGTAAAAAAAAAAATTAGGTGACGCCATGATGACGTCATCCGGAGATTTTATATGAATATTTGAAATTTTTGACCTTTTAGCCATATCTCATGAACGTAACATGCAAAATTCAAAATTCTTTGTGTATTTGGTCTGTTAGGTAAAAGGTATTTGCACAACATTTTGAACAAAATATCTGACATCATTATGACGTCATAAAAATGCGATTTTTCAAAACACATATAAGGAAAGGTCCGACTGTCATAAAACTTAATGGGTAGGTAAATAATGGTACTAGTATACAAAGTTTAAAGTGACGTCAAGATGACGTCATCGTTTGGTTTTTATAATTTTTAGATATTTAAATTTTATTGTGCTTCCACAAATTGCACACTTTCTTTCATCGGATTGACATTAAACTTGGTTCAAACCAAAATCACAATGACAAAATGTGCATTGAGAAGGGTCTTAAGGATGACGTCATTGCAGGGCAAGTGACATCATTTGATAAAATTATACTTTAGGAATTATTCTAAGCGTTTTGAACAACCTTTAACTGCATAAAGCACTCTGAAAAGTGACTGCAAAAGGACAAACGAAACAAATATTTGTAAAATGCGAAAAATCCCTGAGTTCTGTTTGCAAACAGATGTGACGAAAATGCCCCCAGTCATTTTCTTTAGACTCACCTTATGTCCCTAAATTAACTTCCATCCATGTACAGATGTAGAATAGGTTTCCTCCAAGTTATGATTGTTTTAAGAGGCATAATTTATCGCTATTTTACCACGATGTCAGCTGTTCCCATGCATTACTGCAGCGCACATGTGTTTGTACGCTAAAAATAGGGTTTGCTTAAATTCAAGATGGCCGCCTTCTAGACCTCTAAAACTGTTTCGGATTGGCCTGTAGTTTTAAACGATTATTTCTTAATTTAGTCTTTAAAACTTAGGAATAACACACTAGAAAGTTGCCTTTATATAACTTTTATCTAGTTCAGTCCTCTAAGTATGTTTTTGGAAGATTATTTATGAATAAGGAATTATTTACAGAATTTCTTGTACTTTTCGTCTGCTAAGACATTCATGAATATTTATGAGACGAGGTCACTGTATTTTACTGAATGGGACTAGGTTTGTTTACGTTCGGTAATAACTTTATTCTTGGGTTTTCTTGATGTACTTCAGTCATTTCCGATCCAAGTCTTAGGTTTAACTTAAAATGTAGAAAGGGGAGATTATTGTATATTTTGATTGATGAATTTGCAGCATAAATTATGGATTTCTCAGGTGAGTGAAAACTTTGTTGTGCATGGTAATTTTTGCCAGTTTCCAACTTATGGGCGTGGCTTATTTACTACGCGTATGGAGCGCCGCGCGTATGGAGCGCCGCGCGTATGGCGCGCAGTTCAATGGTATAAAAAGGACAGATTTTGGTTGATTTGGGGTTGGTTGGTTAGTTTTGCTTGTGGGTTGAGTCTTGTACTGCTGATCGCTGAGGCGGAGCTGAGGAGGAGCCTAGGGAAGTGTGATAGTATTGAGAAGTTTATAGGGTGGAGTCTGAAAACGGAGGAGAAGCCAAGGAGGAGCTAAGGAGAAGTGCGAAACTGAGGAGGAGCTTGGGAAATTGAGGAGGAGCTTGAGAAACTGAGGAGGAGCTTGAGGAGCCAAGGAGGAGCTGAGGAGCTGGGACAGTTCGTAAGTTATTAATAATTGGAGTGGAGTGGAGGAGCAAGATAGATAATTGCAGTCTTTGAATTATTTCCAGTGCTGTTGACATATTCAAGAAACTACTGGCTGACCTGTCAGAGGGCTTGGATGGAGGTTTAGTTATATTTATTATCTACTGGCAGACGTAATTGCCTAGTGATACTTATATTCTATTGGCAGACGGAGTTGCCTAGTTACTTATTTTTCTACTGGCAGACGGAGTTGCCTAGTTATTTATTTTCTACTGGCAGACGGAGTTGCCTAGTGATACATATTTCCACTGGCAGACGGAATTGCCTAGTGGTACTTATTTTTAACTAGTGATATTATTTGTAGGTATTGAGGTTGCCTAGCCCTTTAAGTTCAGCACTGTTTACTGGAATAATTTGAGTCAACTATTATTCCCCCCAGTACAGAGTGTACTATATTTTATTGAATGCACTCAGCCATTTTAATATAACATTGTTGACTAGTGGAGAGAGAGAGTGCTATTCCTTATAGTATAAATAAGTATATTCAGCTCATCCTTGATATTGTAGATTTGTTGTTGAAGTTGAATTAAATTACTGTTCTTCGAGTTGTGCTATTTAATGATTGCCTGAAGAGAGTACTTTCTTTTAGTCCGTCCTTAGGAAAATAAGACCTTGTCCTGCTTATTATCTTTTCACCTTGGTCATATATTTTGACGGCGAACCCTAGTCTTAGATCAAGAAGTACTAAACCGGTGAGGCGGAACTCCGGAGGTTTAGGGCCTAAAAATTTTCCGCCTGGTGGCAGCGCTATCGTGGACTGTTTCTGAGACGAATAGAGACAGGTCCCGTTTTTCCGCCACACAGACATACAGCTCTAGTTTCCTTTTTTTTTTCTTTTTCAGCCCAAGCCCATAGCATTTGTACATGTATTTTTGTCACCGGCACTTTGGGCACTAAAATCAATCCGATTGCCTTTATACTCAGCACACACTTAGACCAGCATCTGAAGATGTGCCCC